CGAACGGGTGATGCCCGAGGAGCCTGTGCCAGCTGGGTGCTGGGCTTCGCACCCACTTCACCCCAGAGCCCTTGCCCTCTGCCTGCGTGGCCCCGGGAGGGTGTTCATCCCCTGGCAGACATCCCCATCCCTGACCCATCCCCATCCCTATCTCTATCCTTTCCCCAGTCGCTGTCCCCATCCCTGTCCCCGTTCCCGTACCGTGTCGGAGGTGAAGTTCTCGGGGCAGAACACGGCTCCCTCGGGGTGGCTGTGCCTGTACCAGCCTGGGGATGCGCCCAGCTCCTCGGGGCACCTCGGCGACAGGCAGAGAGCAGCCCCCTGCTCATAGGAGCCCATGGGTGAGTAATCCTCCTCGGGATAACCCTCCAGCTCATCTGGAGACAGGTCAGGATAGTCTGTTTCCGGAGTGGGTGGCTGGAGAGGAAAGCCAGGTCAAGATTTCGTGCCCCACAAGAAGCATCTACTTCCCCCAGCCATGGCCAGCCCAGGTATGGGCTGCTCCATCTCCATCACCTCCATTCTCATCCCCTTCCCCCTCCCTGCCTCCATCTCCATATCGGTGTCCATCTATATCCCCAACCCTGTCTCCATCCCCATCCTCGTCTCCATCCTTGTTCCCATCTCCATCCCCATCCCTGCCTCCATCTTCTTGTCCGTCTTAATCTCTGTGTCCATCCCCATCCCCATCTCTGTCTCCATCCTATGCTGGTTTTAGTCGGGATAGAGTTAATCCCCATCCCTGCCTCCATCTTCTTGTCCGTCTTAATCTCTGTGTCCATCCCCATCCCCATCTCTGTCTCCATCCTATGCTGGTTTTAGTCGGGATAGAGTTAATCCCCATCCCTGCCTCCATCTCTGTCTCCATCTCCATCTCCGTCTCCATTTCCATCATCTCCATCTCCATCTCCATCCCTGTACCCATCTCCATCTCTGCCTCCATCTCCATCCTCATCCCAGTCTTCATCCTGTGCTGGTTTTAGTTGGGATAGAGTTAATCCCCATTCCTGTCTCCATCCCTACCCCCATCTCCATCCCCATCCCATTCTCCATGTCCATCCCCATCATCCCCACGCCTTGCTGGGTGCTCACCCTCCGCTCCATGGGACTGTACCGCATCACCCCAGGGTACATATCCTGGGAGCTGCTTCCATCTCCCGCGTGGGGGGGGTCCCACGACGTCTCACCTGTTACCGAATTATAGAAAAAAGCCTGTCCGCTGGCTTCGTCCACGTACTGTTCCCACTCAGGAAACTCCGGGCTGTGGACGAGCGAGGAGGCGGGAGAGGCGACGGGACTCACTCCATCTTCTGCCTGCTCAAAGGGACAATCCCACGTGGTCTCACCCGTCACCGGGTTATAATAAAATAAATGTCCACTGTCCGTATCCGTGTGGGTTTCCCAGTCCGACACGGAGCTGCCAGGCTCCTCCGGGGCTGAGCCGGCGGCTGTGGCTTCCTCCTGCAGCTCCTGGATGTTGAGGTAGATGGGGGCGGGTGACTCCTCCGACTCCTTGCGTGCCTGGAGGGGACACGGCTGGGTCACTCAGGTGCTGTGGCTGGTGATGGGTGCGGAGAGCTGTGGGGCAGAGAGGCTGGGGATGGCAGCCATGGGGCACGGAGGTTGGGGACAGCGTTCCTGGGATGTGCCCGCTGTGGTACAGATGGATGAGGGGGCTGAGGAGCCAGATGCTGCCCTGCCCGCCCCTCTGCTGGGGGACACCCCCTGCCAGGGCACCCAGTGGGCGCTGCCTTGAGACACCTTCTCCCATGGG